TATGCTTTATGCCGTTTCCATTTCTAGTAGCAAAGATGTTGTAAATTGATTAATTATTCAATCAATTAGGAAACACTTATTAAATGCCTATTATTGTACATCATCCTAGGCACACTGATCGTTATCAATGAACTATCTTAATTTATTTTTTTCTTTTACAAATCTGGGTTCTTGAAGGGTTTGAAAATTAATGTGGGCTTTATTATTTTTGTTGCTGATGGAGAGATAATTCAACTTTTGTAGGATAAAATGAAATAAAACTGTACATGTTTTATATTTCCAAGAAATTGGAAGATCCTTCAGGGAAGCAGCTATCTGATTTTTGTATTTGCGTCTTCAGCATGTAGCACAGTCTTGCAGAGGTGCCTAATGTTTGTTGGACTGAACCCAATCAAAAGACTGATAAGCGAATATCTACTGATTTACTGTATTCTTCTTCCTATAGATCTTGTATCATGTGACAACAAGAAGGGAAATTTTATTTAAACTAACTGCTTATGGAAGCAGAGCTAAAGTGAAAAATCTCGCCCCTGGAGTGGAATATGTATTTCAGATGAAAACAGTTAGAGGCATGGATTATAGTGTATCTGTTGAGAAAAAAGTGATTACAAGTAAGCAATTACTGTAAATAAGTTTTTCATTAATTTTTTGAAAATTTAGGATAGTTGGGTTAAAATATGATACAATGTAATTGCTTTGTGGAAAATGATGGTTTTCTTTTATTTGAATCCTAACTTAAGAACATATTCCAATGAACCCACAATATTTTTTAATTGGTGCTTTAAATAATTTTGATAGTACCTAGTACTCTCATTAGTTTTGGTCTGATTGTTTTTAACTAAAATATATGCAAAATAATTAATTCACTTGTATCTTGCATTATATGCCTTATCAGTTTTATATAATTTTGCCAATACCTGATACTTTGATCAGTTTTGCTCTCGTTGTTTTTAACCAAAATTATGTAAAATAATTAACTCAGTTGTACTTTGCATTACATGCTTTATCAATTTTACAGTGAAGTAGAAGTCTAATTGCTAGGGTAGGTATAGACTCTCTTTTGCCTGATCAATTATAGATTATAGTTATGATCTTGGCAAAAATTGGTGTAGCCTTCTTTATATCTAAGTAAATGTTAATAGTATTTACTATTAGTAATTCTGAAAGCTTATGAGAATTTCTAACTTTATTTTAAAGTATTTTTACAAATCACATGATTTACACTGATAAGTATGCCTCCCTTCTGCCTCTCTCTCTCTCATTCTCTACGTCCCTCATTCTCCCCCCCCTCCCTTTCCCCCTCCCCTCAGAGGCAATCGGGATTAAGTGACTTGCACAGGATCACACAGCTAGTAAGTGTCTGAGGCTGATTTTGAACTCAAGTCCTCCTGATTCTAAGGCTGGTTCTTACCTGTGACACATTCTGGCTGTGTGATCCTAACAAATCAGTTTCAATGTTCTAGGCAACCGTCTAAGACTAAAATTTCCAACTTGACTTGTTAGAGGAAGTCTGATTTTCCACTATCAATTAAATTACAGGTTCATTCCATATCCCTATGTAAAAAACTACAGGTATCGTTATTGGCCAGCACTGTGATTGAAACTGTAGTTGGGAGAGATATTTAGAGCCATATAGAATCAATAGGTGAACCTTTACATAGATGGCACAGGACACCAAAAAAGGGAGTGGCTTAGTTACAGGACTAATTTTCATCTTTTATCTTGTTGGTATATTTCCTTTGCATTTCTTAAAAATATTGATATATATTTTTTTCAAACTTATTTATGTATAATTTTAAAATGTCAAACAGAACCAGCTGGGATATGTGGCTTAGCCTTAAAAGCGGTGAATACTTCTGCTGCAACATTAATGTGGAATCCAACAAAGACGAACTTCACTCACTACAAGATTTGTTTATCAAATGATACATTCACAAATGAATATTATATTTTTGGGACCATGACTGACCATACAGTTACGGATCTGACTCCTGGTGGCACTTATAACATCACAGTGCAGAGAGTAAGAGGTGACATAGAAGGATACAGCTCATTTATCCAGGTGGTTGCAGGTTTGTAAATGTTTTGTGTAGTTAAATAATCGTATTTTATAGTGGTCATACTTAGAATGATAAGTTGTTCTGAAACTTTTTTTAAGTTGAGTATTTTAAGGTTTCACCAGAAGTTGAGAAAGGAAAGAAGGAAGGGAGGAAAGGTAGAAGGAAGAAAGAAAGGAAGAAAGAAATGAGAGAGGGAGGTAAGGAAAGAAAGAAAGAAAGAGGTAGGTAAGGAAAGAGAGGAAGAAAGAAAGGAGAAAGAAAAAGAGACTAGCTTTAGAGGATTGAGTGAACATAACAGTTTATAATAACAACAATAACAACAATAACAGTTAAACTTAGTGTTTTAAGGTTTGAAAAACTCTATGTGTGTTATCTGATTCGATCTATATAATAATCCTATGAAATATATGCTATTATCATTCCAATTTTACAGAGAAAAAAAAACTGAGTCAGAAGAGAGGTTAGCACTTTGCCCAGGGTCTCTCAACTAGTTAATGTCTGAGATAGGATTTGAACTCAGGTCTTTCTGACTCCACATTTAGAATTTCACTGACTCATTATCTGGACAGGAGACTGGAACCCAAAACATTGCTAAAAATATTTTAAGATATCTTAAACTGAACATGATTGGAAGAGTAGCTCATCATGAGAATAATTCTTAAATAACTTTCTGGGCTTCTGTTATGTTGCTATTCAGTCATGTCTGACTCAACGTGACCTCATGGACATTGTCCGTAGGGTTTTCTTGGCAAAGATACTGGAGTGGTTTGCAATTTCCTTCTCCAGGGTGTCCCCATTTTACAGATGAGGAGCTGAGGCAAATATCAGTTAAGTGACTTACCCAGGGTCACACAGTTAGTAAGTGTCTGTGGCTGGATTGTAACTCAAATCTTCTTGACTCCATGTCTATTGCTGCTCTGTGCACTGCACCACCTAGTTGTCTATTCTATTATAGTCTAACCATTATCATTTACCTGGTTGCACAATTTATTATCACATAACTTTTATACACTGAGTTTTATAACTACAAGGACATTTGCAGTGAAATCAATAGAGAGCACTGGGATAGTCGTTGAGAGATTTGAGTTCTAATTCTGACTCTGCTGTATGTTAGCTATGTGCTCTTTCCAAGTAATTTAAACTTTGTACCTTGGTTTACTAACCTGTGAAATGAGAAGGATGTACTGGTAAAATTCCAGTTCCCTGTCACCTATGAAAAAAGTGCTATCTTTTGCTGCTATATGTTCACCATTGGTATAAATATATCTCTGCCCCTGACTTAATTTCTCCCATAATAATGTTTTACTGCTTTTTTTATGCACTTAAGTAATATTATATATTGGAGTACTTGTGGAAAATAGTCCAGAGTAATAATGAGTTTAAAATAATATGAGCAGAGAGAGTTTTTAGAACTATTTAAAATAAAATCAAGAGAATTAGCTTACTATGGAATATGTCATTTCAATTTAATGCAACATTGCTTTCTTAGTCTCTATCTGTAGTTTCTAATAATGCAGGTAAAGGAAAAGCAGTATTTTCAGCCCTATTTTTGTCAATAGTTTTAGGCTGAGTCTACATGAGGTATGTTTTGCAAATACTTGGCTGCAAAGCTTCTTTCTCTCCCTCTGTATTGTCTATCTGGAATCTGTGCTAAGATAAGGCAGAGTGGGAACCTGAATCATTGGCAACCAATCAGGAGGCTTTTGTGTGGAAAACTCCCCTCCAGATGGCACAGCCCAGTCTAAACAACTGTTCAGAAATAAAAATGAAAGCAAATGTTAAAATGGATAGAAGTAATGGTTTGGGCAGGAAGGTAGTGCTGCCTACTGCTGTTTCATTTCCTAATCAAAATGGTTGTTTGCCATTATAGAGAATCCAAAGCTTTCATTTGAATGCTCATATCTGAAAAAAATAGATTTGTGTTTTACTTCCTTTATCATTATTCTCCCCACCTCTAATAAATAACTGAAGAGTCAGATGATTATGCTGTACTTCTAAACTTCTATAGTATTGTACTGTACTTTATACTTTAACATACATACCTATGCGTGTGTGGGAGTATATACATATACACTATTTTTATACAATATTTGAGCTGGAGAGAATAAATTTGGCAAAAATTAAATTGATCAGATTGTAAGGAAATTTTTCAAAGTTACATTATACATGTATATACCATATAACAGGCATTCTTAAAAAAGATCTGAGTTCTTGAGATAACCAACTAAACACAGAGATCTCTTAATGTGATTAGGTAGGCAACTGGTGATAAAATTCTTTTGAAACACCATTTATTTAATGTTGCTTTTTAATTCTTGATCATTTTAAAATAAAGAAATGGTCTTTGGAATTTGTGCTTTCATTATAAGAACCTGAAAGGCCTGAGAAACTTAAAGCCTTCAATATTTCAACACACTCCTTTTCTTTGCACTGGAGAAAGCCTTCTGGACATGTGGAAAGGTATCATGTGATTCTTGTTCCTGATGGTGGCGTTCTTGCAATCAGAGATCTTGGCCGTGGGGAGTATCAGGTATAGTTGTTATTGAGGCACTTTGTTTATATGTGATACTAATGGGAAAGTTTTTTATGAAACTGACGAACCATGAAAACTCATCTTAGGTTTTGTTTTTTTTTTTCCTTTTAGCATAGGACAAAGACAAAAACATCAATGCCAAATTTATAAGCATAAATTTCAGCATTGGTGGGTCATTACCTTAACAACAGCTAGCGTATCTTTTTTTTTTCTTCAAGTCTACTATAAACCTCCGGCCAGTCATCCAAGGGTTCATGAATAGTTTAACAAAGTAAGGGCAGTGCTATTGAGTAATACATGCTCATTAATTGTGTACTTGCCAGGAAGATCTGTCCTTAAATCATTAATGCAGGCAACATTTCCCTGTAAAGCCATCAATGTAATTCCACTGTCTGAAAAATGTAATAATGATGGCTTTTCTTATAATATTTATCTTACTTTTTATTGGAACTTCAGAGACACAGGTATTTCATAGTCATGCTTAACTGAGAGGGCTGGAGAATGGCTAGCTGTAAATTCTCAGTAATTCTTACTGAATGTTTCTTTCCAGTGGTAGTAAAGTTGGCAGCTTTGTAGAGTTTATACAGGACAGATATTGACTTACTAGTTGATGTACTACTGTATGATATATATGTATATATACTTGTATATCTATGTATATGTCTGTATCTCAATGTAGATATATTTCTATTTCAAAGTAGATTACCCTTTCTTTATTGATACACTGTAACAAACTCATTTAAGCATGTTTCTTGTAATATAGTGCCTTAGTTCTTTGTAGATATTTCTCATCAATTGTTACCTTCTGATTTTAGGAATAATAGATGTTTTTACCTCTCTTGTATTTTCCTTCTTCCTTGAAAGAGTTTATTGTTTTTGATTTCTCCTTGATCCTATAGGTTGATGTGTCGAATGCTGTACCTGGGACAAGGTACAATGTAACCATTTCTTCAGTTTCTGCTACAACATTTGGTACTCCTATTAGTAAAATGGTGACAACAAATGTGACGAGTGAGTATAATAAACATTCTTATATCTATAGCTCTCTTAATTTTTATAGATAACATGTTTTAAAATTATTCTTATATGAATTTTAGGGAGTCTTAATCCTCACTTTTGGCTTGATGAAAATGTTTACCTACATATTACGTGCATGAAAATAAAAGTGTTGAGGAAAGTTTCTCATTGAGGAGAAAATGGAAATATCCAAACAGTATGTTTGAATCCAACTTGGATTATGATGATCATTTGGGCTCATTCTTAGACTTCTTTAATGTGGAAAGAATGAAAATAGCTATTCTATACCTGCTTATGAATTTGAGCGTCTGATACATGTAGAGTTATGACTATGCCAAATACAGCAGCATTTCTCAGCAAGTACTAGCAAGCAAATAATTATGTTAAAATTAATGGTAATAATGATGTGCTTTTAGTTTTAGTTTGGATTTCTTACTTTAAGGATGATTTTCAAATGACTTGGAATTAAGTGATGTTTGGTCTGTGAAGTTTTTTTTTAATGTTCCATTTTTTGCATTCTTAGAAAAGAATGTTTCTGGTATTCCCCAAAGCATTTAATCATTTTTTTTTTAAAGCATAGCTCTAGAGAGAGCTGTTTCATATTGAATCCATTAGTCTCCAGGAACTTCAAAAGTCTAGGTTGCAAATAACTTTTCTTCCATATGAACTGTGGAAATACTCAAATTGTTACTTGACATTTTAATTAAAGGCATTTTGTTTTTACAGATCCAGGGCCTCCCGTGTTCCTTGCAGGTGAAAGAGTGGGATCTGCTGGAATACTTCTCTCTTGGAATACACCACCAAAGCCGAATGGAAGGATTAAATCATACATCGTTAAGTATAAGGAAGTTTGCCCGTGGACGCAAACCACCTATACACAAGTTAGAGCAAAACCAGATAGTTTGGAAGTGCTTCTTACTAATCTCAATCCTGGAACAACTTATGAAATTAAGGTGAGTATGAAAGGTTTTCTGCATAATTTTGCATTTAGAATTAAGTGCTGTTTTGTATTATTGGAATTAAAAGTAAAGAACCAACTTATCTGAAATCTGGCTAAAGTTCACCATATAAATTATACAGGAACTAAAGGAAAATAATGGAAAGAATTGTTTCATTTCTCTCCTTTTCTTTGCTTCTGGAACTTTAGTGAAATTGTAGAGTTACTTTTTTGGCTAGATTGAGTAAAAATTTGTTTCTGTTCTCATAAGTTATGTACTAAAGCAAAAGATAAAATTTCTCCCTCTAGTTACTGATGTGAAAAACACAGTTGATATTAATTTAATACTTTTGTAAGTAAAAAAAAAAATCTGTCTTTTAGTTCAGTGAAAAGTGTACCAAATTTACAATCAGAGAGTTCAAATCTTGGTGTTGCCATTTACTATTTGTGTAAGCTTAGACAGGCAACTTCATTTCCCTGGGCCTCAGTTTCCTCATCTAAAATGAGGGGATTGGACTAGATAACCTTTAAGGTACTTTCCAGCTCTAAATCTATGATCCTTCTCTGTTAAATAATCATAACATTGAATTAGTCTTGTTCATTTCTTTCTATTAATCTTCCATGACTGACACCTGCATTAAAAAAAAAAATTCTAGAGAGTTTTTGTAAGCACAGATTCCATAAATGTGGCAATTTAAATATTTTAGCACTTCACTGATTTTAAATGTGCCAAGTTAGGAAAAGCCTTGTTTGCAGGTCCAAATAATGAGGAAATAGGTAAAAGGCAGCACTAAATTATATTAACCTCATAAAATTATTTACAATAAAATGTGTCAGTGATTTTTTTTTCCCTTGGGAAGGATAATGGAAAATTTAGATAAAATATCCAGAAGACTGCTTATTTCCTTAAAATTTTAATAAGCAGCTGGCTTTTGAACACTGAGGAAAATTTGGATATAGTTCTATAGAGTTTTAAGTTTCCTCTTAATGAAAAACGTCTTATTGATTTAAAAATATGACTATCATTTCTTAATCAATCCCCCCCAAGAACCCTCTTTTGTAACAAAGAAGTACTGTTAAGCAAAACAAAACAAAACAAAACAAAACAAAAAGCAAGTAATGACAGTGACCATGACTGATGGTGTAGGCCTCATTTCTTCACCACAGAACATTTTTATACAGTTCTATAAATTCTTATAAATATAAATTCAGCTGGGTAGCAAAGGAGATAGAGTGCTGGGCCTAGAGTCAGGAAGACTCATTTTCCTGAGTTCAAAGCTGGCCTCAGACACTTACTAGTTGTATGAGCCTGGGCAAGTCACTTAACCCTGTTTGCCTCAGTTTTCTCATCTGTAAAATAAGCTGGAGAAGGAAATGACACACCACTCAAGTAATCTTTGGCAAGAAAACAACATATGGGGTCACAACGAGTCAGACACAACTGAAATGACTGAAGCACAGCGATAAATTCTCTAAAATTTCCTTTATAAAGGATCAATTAATAAATTCAACTTAATAAATGAAGTTAATTTGAAAGATCCCTTTAAAATTACTAATTTTAAAATGACTGCTATCACTTCCCACTTATAAGCCCTATTCACAAAAATAACAAACAACAACAAAAAGTAGTTAAGCAAAACAGACACATTGCCCATGTCTAATAGCATATACCTCTTTCTGCAACTAAAGATCCCCCTTCTCCAGCTAGAGCATAAAGGGCTGGGTCGTCATCAGTCTTCTAGAGTCATGATAGTTATTTCATTGATATGAGTTCTTTAGCTTCTTTATGTGAAGTAATTATTTTCAGGGCCATATTCTTTCCTCATCTGTGACATAATGAAGATTATTATAATGGTGGCACAGGGGGTTGATTGCTGGGCCTGGAGTTAGGAAGACCCAAGTTCAAATCCGGCCTCAGACCTTGCTATCTGTGTGACCCTGGGCAAGTCACTTAACCAGTATCTCAATCAGCAACTTCAATGGTAAAATGAGGATGATAATAGCACGTCTCTCATATGTAACAACAACAACAATAGTTAATATTTACATAGTCAGGCACTGTGCCCAGTCCTTTACATTTATTTTCTCATTTGTTCCTCACAATAGGAAGTTGCTGTTAATATGCCTGTTTTACAGATGAAGAAACTGAGGCATTGTTGAGAGAATCAAATTAGATCAAATGAGAAAGTGTTTGTAAAGCACTTAGCACAGACCCTGACTCACACTAGGCACTTAATAAATGTTTTATTTTTTCTTTCCTTACATTGCCTATGCAAATTCAAGTTTCTTAATTTGTATTCAAAATGTATGTATACCTTTTAAGATAATTATAATACTGAATTAGAGATGACAATATGCACCGAAGTAGCATGCAACTTAATGATTAATGTGACTTTTTATTGGGAAAAAAGTAATATTTTTGTCATTATGAGTCACAGAACACAATTGAGCAGTTTCTCAGAGTAAGGATTTCCAGTCTCTGATATATTCATTGCTTTGTTATTGTGGCTGTACATTGTTCAGTCTTATCTGAGTCTTCCAGACTCTGTGGACCATACTGTCCGTGGTAAAGATATTGGAGTGATTTGCCATTTCCTTCTGCAGAGGATTAAGACAAATAAAGGTTAAGTGACTTGTCCAGGGTCACCCAGCTAGTAATTGTCTTAGGTTGTATTTGAACTCAGGTCTTCCTGACTCCAGGACCAGTGCTGTATCCACCGAGCCACCTAGTTGTCTCATATTCATTGCTGTCAATCATAAATGAATCTGCAGTAGATTGTGTTAGGGACTGGATCTGTGATTTCATTAGATTAGGGAACTCCCAAATGAAGAAATTCCCTCTACCAATGCCGATTGCTACTTCCTATGAAACTTGTTAGAATTGCCTAGAGCATGGCAAGGCTAAACACTTTTTCCAGAGTCCCAGAGGCTTAACTTGAATACAGTGTACTTTGTTCTGAAGCTGGCCCTCTCCCTACTATACCACACTGCCTCTGCACTATTCTAATTTTTTCTCTAGGAAAGTCTAAAGATTGACGATGCTGAGTACAATTAAAGATCCATAGGCCAAACAACAAATTTAGACCATGCTTTTTCTTTTTTGCATGACAGCTGAAAAGTGCTTAGCTCAATCCTTCTAAGGGAGGTTGTTCTAGGATAATAAACACAGGCTAAATTCTTTCATGGATATTCTCAGCAGCTAATCTGAAGAAGTGCTGTTGACAGGAGAGGGAGTCAGCCATCAAGAGCTTTCTCCTTAGTCAGGCTGACAAAGCTTCTCAACACAGCTTCTTGCATTTCTCAACTCTTGGGAACCCTTGATTCTACCCAGAATTCCATAGTCTCACCATCTTTTCATTTTTTCACCTATCAGCCAGTGGCTTCCAATAGCAGTGTTTGCTGTTGGGCATTTCTACTCTTGCAGTATTTTAACATTACAGTTTAGAAGAATGTACAATGACAGAAGAAGCATTTCGGTATAGTGGATACAGAGCTGGCTTTAAAGGAGCCAGGAAAATGTGGAATTAAGTCCCATCTCTGACAACTACTGAGCATGGGATTCTGGACAAGTCATAACGTGTCAAGATGGTTGGCAACATTCTAAGACTATAGGTGTCTGTTTAGGGATCTGCAATGATAGAAAATATTCCTCACTTTTAACTCCCCATATTAATAAATTACAGATCTAGCTCCCACCCCCCCAAATTATATATGAAGCAATGAGATTTACCTTGAAATTGATGTCCAAGGCCTAAGATTTCCTTTACTTTTATTCACTGCAAAATTCTAGGAGTTTTGGAAGAAACAAAAACTCGGTATTTTTGTAATTTGGATTTCACTTTTTTTAACTATTTATTTTTGAGAGGTTCAAAGTTGTAATATCCAGTTGTGTAACTAACTCAAATGCTATTCTTTTGGTTTATTTTAGGTGGCTGCTGAAAACAGTGCTGGTATTGGGATATTTAGTGAGCCCTTTCTCTTCCAAACTGCAGAAAGTGGTAATTCTCCTAAACCATTCATTCATACAAATTAATTTAATTACAAATGTGTTCAGTTTGTCATTAGTGACTTTTAAAAAATCTGACATTGTCTTGATATCCTAAATTATAACATTCATGAACTTTGGACCCTACTGTTGCTGGTACTTGGCTAGCAATACACGGAGTGAGAATCTTTTTGTAACTGTGTGAAAGTAAAGGTTAATCACTTAGAGATGTGCTGCTGTCTTTTTTTCTATTTTTGTTGTTCAGTTATTTTTCAGTTGTTTGACTCTTTGTGACCCCATTTGTGGTTTTCTTGACAAAGATCCCAGAGCGGTTTGCCATTTCCTTCTTCAGTTCATTTTACAGATGAGGAAACTGAGTCAAACAGGATTAAGTGATTTGTCCAGTATCATATAGCTAGTAAGTTTCTGAAGCTGGATTTGAACCCAAGAAAATGAGTCTTCCTGATTCTAGGCCCAGTTCTCTATCTATCTATGCCACCTAGCTGCCCCACATTTTTTATTAAAAATATATATTTTTAAATTTATAAGCATCATTTTCTTTACTTCCCACTTCCCCTAAATAGCTATAGTCAAGCAAAACAAATTTCCATATAGGCCATGTTCAAAAATGTTTGTCTTTGCATTTTCATTCTTTTGCTTCTCTGTTAGGAGGGAGGTAACATTCTTCATCACTGTTCCTCTGGAGTCTTGGCATGTACTTCTTCCACTGACCTCAGTTGTAATTCATACACACCTTGGTAGATGGGCCTTGTGAGATGTTATGCTCCACAAAAGAAACAAACAAATAAATAAGTGATTAAATAAAATTAATTACCTGGAGCCAAACTTCCAATGAGTCTCTCTCAACTTAACTAGACTGATCATTCTATTTACATATAGGAATGTCCAATAACCTTAAGGTGGCAATCTTGCCTCTTCTTATTCCTAGGATTTTATAAAATTTTAAATATTGTACCACTATTCCAGGTAAAAAAACAGCAACAACCTTCTAATGAGGTTGGCAAGAAGAGAAACTGATCCAGTCTGATTCTAACTGCCCAGTAGTAAAAGATAAAATATGGAGGAGAAATCTCTGAGTTTAGCTCCTCTTTAGAGTTTCAGCAGGTCACCTGAGAATGAAATTCATGTATCTGTTTGTTGTCAGAAATGAGATATCATCTTCAATTAATGAGTACTCATAGGTATCTTTTGAAGTATGGAATAAGTTTCTTTGCTATCGATGTGTCTTCAAGGTTCATATTGGTGTTCTGTCTATCTTATAATGGAGGCCTTTTTAAATTTTCAGTAACTACCCTTTTCTTGTATGGCTTCCAAAATTGTTCCACTTTTCACTAAATCCCATTCAATAGTGACATGATGTTTTAGTGAGATTCTAGTGCAAAAGTAAACATCCATTACCAGAAACCAGCCAGTCTGAAATTCGTGAATAAGAGCTGTCCATGTTCAGAGAATTTAATTCAATGATGGAAACAGTTTTAGTTGAATAAAGAGAGTCGTTATAAAACATTCAACTTAAATTTAAGTCACTGTTTTCTATTGGGTGAAAATGTTTTAAATTAGTTACATTTTTTTAACTCGCCATCTGTTAACTAAAGATGTTTTATTTATTTTAATTTTAATGAATACTTAATTCAATGAATTTGTCTCAACTCACTATGTTCTTTTAAAAATCACAGAATAAACTACGTGAGGCCCATTTGATAATTTGCTAAGGCTTAGCAAGTCATAGGTTCATAGGCTCAGAGCATCATAGTTTTAGAACTCAACAGGACTTTAGAAGCCATATCGACCATATCCTTCACTTTACATTTGAAGAAACCACAGCTCAGAAAGGTTAAGTGACTTGCCCAGTATTGCAGAGCTATTAAATGTCAAGGGTGAGATTAGAACCCGTGTCTTTGTTCTTCCAAGGTACCAATGGAGCAATTCCTCTGAAAATTATTAACACTATGTGAATAGAATATTTCACATTTTCTTACAACAATTTTAGTTAAAACATGTGCAAATAAATTATTACAATACATTTAAATATTCAAACTAGGTTTTAATTCTATTCTACTACTCTAAAAACACCATGAGGGCAGTGACTGTCTAATCTAAGCCTTGAATCTCTCAGGGAACTTGATACAATGATCTAAACATAGTAGATGAAGCAGGTAAATAAAGCTTTACTTTTTAATTCAAGTAAACAAAAATTTCATTCATTCATTCATTCATTCATTCATTCATTCATTCATTCATTCA